TTACGCGTGACAATGGCGCATTACAGACGCGTGCCAATTACGCGTTACCATAGACCCTCCCCCCCCCCCACCTATCAACAAAAGAATGATAGCAAGGCAACAGCTGTCATTAGTCGGCAGCAGTGCTGTCAACCAAGTACGTAGATGCTCGGGACTAACCACAGACAACGGCTGACGCGTCAGGAACATCGTGAGCACGCACTGAGACGCAACGTTGGCTAATCAGCGCGCAACGCTAGGTCTACAAGCCCATAAGCATGAATCATAACCTAAACAAACATAAAGTCGGTACCAAAGAACGCGGGGCACAGACCGTGTGTTCTGATGCAATACATACATGCGTATACCAAACACTTGTCGCGCACGCTCGGGAGACATATACATCCGTTAAATGCATACATTACACAGAACACCAGACGGTGCGCAGTGCTACATAGTTGCGGCGGTTTGCATAAACATTGCATACCAAGCACACATGTATCAGACACTGGGTGACAAACAGATAGACATACATGAATGTAAGACGCGCAATGGTGTATACATTGCTAGCACATCTGGCACGGCAGAAATGCCAGGGGACGGGGCGATATACAAACGTGCAGACCTCACATCTCGGGTCGAACAGATCGCGGCGTGGCACGCGGTTGAGCGGGGCGACGAGCCACGGCGGCCAGGACATGATCTAGCGAACCACTCGCGTGGGGAGTAGTAGCGCCGACGGTGATCACCGCAGACTCAGGCCCGGTAGACTGAGACCCTGCGTGTTCCGGTGCAACAGGGGCCAAGGGTACTTCTTCGGCCGGTGCTGACTGGGTTTCGGTCATCTCATCGGTCTGGGCAGCAGGGGAGTGGGAATGACGGCGGCCTGAGCGGCGGCTAAGGTACATGATTAGTCTCCGAAAAATTGGGCAAGTATAGCGCATGGCACGACAGCCAATGACGACAAAACCAATTATGATTACCAAAACGTACATGCTATATTTGAATGACGTCGGGCTGTCACTGCTCAGCGCGACAGCAGAAGGCAAATCAAAGTATTTGACAGCGGGTGGGTCATGCACTGTAAGTTCAGACAGTGCGGAAATGTTGAAGGTCGTACGATTCAGCGAGGCGTTCCAAGATGAGCCCAAGAGAGGTATCGGCTGATCAGTGAGCATAGCTTTGACGTGGAACTGAGGAAGCTGATGCTGAGACTTGCCAAAGTAATCTGGGTGCGGGGAAGTGTATCACTATAGGCTGAACATTCCACATCGAGTTCCAGGACGTTGATTTTATCATGAACTACAAGGGTTTGACCTGATTGGTTTGCGGCGCAAACCGTAGTTAGTCTAAAAGGGTTGATAGAGACCAGTAGCCACTGACCATGTCCAAGATAGGAACCTTTTGGATCGTGGTTGCTAGAGTGTACCATTGGGGAACACAATTTATGGATAAAGACATCTTCTTTCTGAAACTGGGCAACCAGGCATGAGCCCAAAAGATGTCATTGAGTGCACATGTTCATGTAATTGGCAGAATGGCAACTTAGCAAGCAAACATGTTTGAATCTCGCTGTCCTCAGGAATGACGTGTTGTTGGCGATTTTCAGACACCATGGGGAATGAAGACGTTCCCATGGTGTATTCCAGGGAGATATTACGTACCTTGTGTGGGACGCGATATTTAACGAATTTGTAAGCGTCAAACGCATGTGTGACATGTAGCGACGGGATATAGAAAAGCACATGAAAGACCGAGTCTCTCTGCACTACTTTAGGTCGAATAAAACGGATGTACTGACCGAGTTCCTCTCGTGGAAACGGTAGAGTGTGAGTCGTAGGAAGTTCTTTTTCGATTGTCCGCAGGATTGTTTGGAAATTTCATGCTGTCATCAAGCTAGTATGCAGAACTCCCACTTTTGCGACAGCCAGATTATTATCCAAACTGTTGAGTCGATAATAAAGCCTACGCAAAGTTTGAGACACTCCAAGAATGGAATCTGACACGTATTCGATATACGTGGCAGTGGTTATGACGTCCATTGGCTGGTCCACATGATATATTACGTCATCGCGAGTCTTCGCAATTTTCATGCGTTATTATAAAGCATGCGTTATTTCATTTAGCTGTTTGTGGTTCGTTCGGACAGCGATTTGTGTTGAATTTAGAACAGCAAGGGTTTCGTTGGAACTGTGGGCTAGAATTTTGTCTTCTTTACCTAAGACTGAGACTTGGGCCTGGAGATGTTTTACCTCTTGTTTGGTGGCACCAAAGAGATAGGACATGGCGTTTCCTATGCCGTTTATCAATCCTCGACGGGGTCGTCAGGTAAATGGTTTCTGTAAGATCTGAGGAAAAGCATCACAAAGATAGACAGCTTCGTCACGTAGTCCTTGGGTAACATCTACAAGGCGTAATATCGTTTGCTTTACCTGCAGCGTGGCCTTGCTAGATAGTTGTTGGTAAATGTGGTTGCGAAACCCTTAAGATTATACGTTGCCTTTTCTACTGTATGTAATTGTCGTTGTATCAACGAGCTGTTGACCGAAAGAGTGATTGCCCACGAGTTGTAGCTTAGGTTAATTTTGCCCATCGGTCTAAATACATCACCGGGATCGGCTGACGTAAGGGTTACGGGGTAGGAGGAAGTGATGTGTAGCATCAGGATGACTGCTGGCTGCCAGAACATCCTGTAAGAGTCAGAACTTTCTTAGGATATTGCGATGAACATGATTATCAGAGATATGGCGGTTACTACAGCACTTTGCAGTTTACGCCAGCTAAGAATTTGTGCCGGAGCATTGGTCTCAACACGGCCAATGTCTGGGTCGTCTTTCGACTGAACGGCATAAATTCGTGGCTTTTTGTCCTCGTTAGGATCATCATCCGATAAAGGACTGCTCATATCTCTTCGTTTGTGACCAGCTAGACGGGTCCAGAAACCAGCCTCATGTCGTCGCGCGGGGATTTGCGATCGCAATGCGTAGCCATGTGATAGTACAGGATTACTGTCTACTCTGTGCGATAACAGTGTAGCCATCTGATCAGTAGTTTGTTCCTCATAGGGTGGTTTTCCGTCATTAATCATTTCCTGGTCCATAGCTATATCGTCAGCACTGTCGTCATCTACTGTTGGTACGTTCGCAACGGGTGTGTCCTGCTCGTGAACGGTTACCAAAGGAGATGGGGTGAAAAACCCGTAGACGCTGTCTCCCACCAGACCGCGATGCCAGATTTTGTCTCCTTGGCTTTTTGATGAAGCCGGTGTACGCATAACCGTATTGGTCAACTTTTCAAGAGAGCTTCGGTCGGATCGCGACAGCATCGTAGTTTTACCTATCATATCTTGACCAGATACATGTTTTGCTAAAACGCTTTCAACACCACGCAGTTGCCGACGAGTTTTTGTATTTACACTGAATTCACCTTGGATATGTACAAAATCGCGCCGACATGGTGTCAGTACAAAATGCCAAATACGCCGCGTACAGTTCGGCACACAACGAAAGCCTAAGAACCCTGTCTAAAGTACTTCAGCACTCGCTGTGAGCTCCAGAACGTTAACCGCGCATGCAAGATTTGATCCAAGGGCTGACTCACGATGTCAACACACCTTTTTTCTTCAACTTCTTGAAAAGGCAGGAGCGATATGATTGGTGTGCTCTGTGCCGGTTGATCACCGTTCCCATGAGCATGTGTTTCATGTTGACAGACCGCCTCACGAAGTCAAACTGGTGACGCTTCTGAACAGCTCTTATGGGGTGTTTGGCACCATCATGCTCATGACCATTCCATCGAATCGTGAGCTCCTTCGCGGCATTGTCATGCCTCAGCTGCCGATGCATGAAGAAAAACCTCCTTGAGGACGCTGCCCATGGACTCAACCACACTTTCGACAGGGCTGAGTAGCCACGCGCGGACGACTAGACTGACGAATGGTTCGATGGAGGGACCACGTTTCCACAAAGCTTTCAAGAGAGCTTGGTTGGAGCCAGTGCGCTCCTCACTACGCAGGATGCTGATTGCTTCGCGAACGCTGCAGCTCGGCGCCGCAGCCGATGGTGGGATCAGCTTGCTGGACACCAGATGTCCGATGACTTCGGAGACTGTGCTCACCTGGGCGTCGACGGATTTGCTTAGGTCCGGAAATCCTTTAGGTCACCAACCGACCGAACATAGAGCATGTTGTCCAGGAGCGCCTTGTTTGTTGTTCCTTTTCTTCCACTATCCACGCCAGCTCCCTCTCTCCTTGCCTTCAAGTTGCGGACCAGGGCGATACAAAACGCCACGATGGGACGGACATGTCGATTGCAGTTTGCTTGAGTCCGAGGGAGATCAAATCGTAAAGGGATAATTCGTTTCGAGCCAGGTTCAGAAGTCACGGGTGGTGTATCAATTTCGTGCAGAAATTTGGCTGCTTGGTGATTCATGGTCACTTTCGGGTGCGTTTGTCGGCCCAACAAGCTGCAGGCTTGAACAAGGATACAGGTTAAAACTAGACATCACCTTAACAATTATCCGCCCAGTGCTGTGGAACTGTGGAACTGTGGAAACTGTGGAGAACTGTGGAAGAGGCAAGTTAGTGACAAAATATCAGGAGCACCAGAATTACCCCACAAAAATGCCCTGATTTCTTGGAAATACCCGAACTGTTAATGGAAATTTGCATCCCTATTCAATATCAACATCTAAGCACCGCGTGATAACTAAAACAAAAATGTTAAATGAACAGTGGTAGACATACTTTTATTGAGACCAAAATGGATATGAAATATTCTGAGCACGAAGACACATGATGAGGCAATATTATTTTGGCAACAGAGTACAGTATTGTTACATGACTGACAACCCAAAATTGACTTTCAGTCATCACACCATCAAATCCACATCTATGCAGGCACCATTTCAAGATCGACAGTCAGGACATGCTGCTTTTCAGGTGTCACAAATCCTACCAATGCAGCTCATCTTAGTACCTGCCGTTTTCTGACTGGAGTTTCGTGGGTACTCAGGACAGGGATGCAGAGATACTCGTCCAGAAGTGGCATCATCGTGGGCTCTGCTCACTGTGCAGCTTGCGATTCCTGGCAAATGGCATGACAATAACTTGATAAAAGGACATTATAAGACATCACACACCTTGGACACAGCACCACTGCCGCAGGAAAATACAGGTTAGGCACATATCATACCATGAAACACAAAGATTGCTTGATGAAAGTGGTGGTGTATATCACAAAAGAGCATGATTTTTAATGGATGTTGTCACTTCCCCAATCAATATCAATACCTAAGCAGTTGTTAAAGGATGATCAAATATTTATCTGGCAGATAATGGGGAAGCTGGTGGTAACTGTAACTGATGGCAGTATCTGATAAATTTGAATGAAGACGATTCATGACAAAAATGAGTCCTTAGGAACCTTGTCACCAACCGGCTGCAAGTGTGGTGTAACAGTACTGCAACTGTAATATTTGTTAAACAATGCATAGCTTGGAGGAAACCTTAAACCACCATTCCATGCCTATCTCAAAATAAGCCTGAAAGTTTTGTCATTCTAATAACATTTCACACTGCATAAAACAGAAACCCAAGTCATTTACCATCAATACCCAGCCACCACAAACAGCATATATGAAAAACTCACCTCCAGTCTGGTCTGCAGAAACTGATGGCACAGCTAGACTGGATGACCTACTTGGCATCTCAAAAGTGTTGATGCCATGTTCTCTGCCATCTGTGCCACTGTTCATTCCTGTGGAAAATCACAGCCAATCTATTTTACAACCCTTGACAAACCTTTCAAGCAAAAAATTTGAATAAGCAGAGGCTGTTATTGGCAAAGTACCTGTAAGTAGACAGGCTAACATCACTGTGAAAACAATGAAATACCACGGACTACACGCAAAGTGACATCTAAGCCGATGGGCATGATTCATTAAAAAACGAATTCTTCTTATTTTGGGGAGTGAATTTGGCTCTTCCACACTCCTTTGTTTTATATGATGCAGTCTAATTTTACTTGAAGGTGGTAGCCACACCAAGCTGAAGATAACTATGCACTAAACTGCCCATACAAACTAGGAAGTCATGATTTGTTACACTGTGTCCTCTGCCACCAAATCAGTGATTCTAGACTATTTCATTCACTGTTTGATAGGTATGTGGGTATGTTTGGTCATGCCTATCTACCTTGGGTAAATATTGTTAAACATTAGCTACTGCGAGGAATGGCCACTCATACTCACGTAGATTCAGTTCAAACTCTTACCTTGGAGCCAAGATTCCCACTTTCCACCTGCACCAAAACTGGAATTCTTAAGGACAATTGGCATCCCTTTGTGCTTAGTGTTCATGTGCCTTTTCAAGTTTCTTCCTTCCCCATTGAAACCACAGTTCACGTGCCCACAGTGCACTGCCATACGTGATGGATGTTTACCCATGCCTGGCAACCGAACATACAGGTAAAGCTTCAACGCAGAAGATCCAAGGCTATAAAGAGACAAACGCAAATGTCCCAACCTAATCGAAAAGTGCGATATATTTGTTAAAACCCCAAAACTACGCGTAACCAGTATTCACGTAATGAACGTTTCCGACACAACAGATCGCAACGCCGACTAAGCATCAACACGCGCCACATATAGCGTCAGATATGTAACGCTCCGAATGGCGCTGAAAAAAGGACTGCTCATGGAGGCAGGCGGTAAACGATAAAATCGCTCGAAAACTTGCGCGAGACAAACCCTTATAGAAATCTGTCTCGCCGGGTGACACCTTCTGGCCACTAGTGGCTGTCTCCTTACTGATAGGGAGACCAATACTAAATTCAACGTCGTCGTGTATGATGTCATTGTTGTCGTCCATAACACCACAGCGAAATTGTTTCATCGTTGAAAAATGAAAAACTGACTTAGCAAGAAAACAGTTACAGTCCGTAAGTTCGGCTCCTGGGCAGTTTGATTCTCATATTTTATGGCTCCCACCCTGGTAGTCAAGTGAGCAGGTTTTTTCACCCCTGCCAAAGGGCCGTCATTGCGAAAAGCTAACTTTGCTTATCTGGGGGATTGGACACGAAGCGATTTTCCGATTTTTGTTACAATGCGAAAGTAAGACTTCCAATGCAGAGTTAACTTCGAAGAATTCCCTGTTTTGATTGTAGGATCGTAGTAATAACCCGGATCGCCAGTTTGAGAGGAAGATGCTTGAACACTTTTGTCAACTACCATCTTGTTGTGATCCCGCGTTTGTTGAATATTTTCTGTGACATGCTTAAATGCGTGATGGAGATTTTCGAACATTGGGGAACATACTCGTTGCCGGAGTACTTGTAACGGTGATGCACCAAGGTATCTACAGGTAAAATTGGATATCGGCCGTACATGAGGAATGATGGCGAGTATTTGGTTGTTTCATTTTTGATAACCCTGTAAGTGGCTAAACATGGTTGTAGTACTTGTTCCCACTTCGTGTGATCCTCACTAATCTTTTTGGCAATCATCTCATTCGAGACCTTATGGAATCTTTAGGTCTTTCCGTTGGTCTGAGCATGGCAACTACCCTTGCGTATCCTCGTTGTTCCTAACACTTTGTTGACAGTATCTTTAACTCCGTTCCAAAGTTCAATTCCCTGATCGCTCAGAACTGATCGAGGGCATCCATGACGGGGTATGATTTCATCCAAAACTAATTGAGCTATTGTATCCGCATTTCTCTTAGGAATGGGATAAGCTTCCGGCCATCCAGAAAATAAATCTACTACCGTACAGATGTACACGTTTCCTTTGGACGAGATTGGGTGGGGTTCTATCAAATCAATGCCGAGGTCAGTCATTGGAGCGCTGGTCATTGACAGTTCTTGTAATGGGCGTCTTTTGTTTTTGAGCTTTTTCATATTACACTTTTGGCAGGTCGGGACGCATATGTTGATCTCTTTTAACACGTCGGACTAAAAGAATGACTTTATGACCCTGTCAGTGGTCTTTTAGATGCCTAACTGGCCTCCAAAGTATCCATCATGCGCCTCTCGAAGGATGGTATATTTAAATTGTTCAGGAACTTCTAGTTGAGCTCGGGTCAAAGGACGTATTTTAGTACCTGACGTTAAATGATGTAGCAAATCATCATGCATGCAATATCCTTTCACTTTATTATCGTCTACGTCAAGTAAATACTAGATGATTTTTTTTCTAACAAGGGATCTTCTTTTTGAGCATTTCCAAACTCGGCACCTGTGTAAGACATAGCAACACATTCGGAATACAAAACGTCCTCTGTTGCCTTGTTCTGTATCTGGTAATTCTCAATTGCACTAATTTCTTAAGTATCAACTTGTTGATCATGCCAATCTAGCCGTTCGCCATCTGACAAAGTCTCTACTTGTTCCGAATTCGGAAGTGTAGAGAGAAGATCTGTGGTAACATTTTTAGCACCACTGATACACTCGATATCGCAGCCGTGTTCACTCATCATCATAGCCCATCTTTGCACTCGAGGATTTTGCATTTCGCTTGTGAAGATATGTTTCAGCGGTTTATGGTCCGTATAGATCGTGAGTTTGGTTCCTAAAATGATAGGGCGACGTTTTGTAGGCTGTACACGATAGCGAACGCTTCGCGTTCTATAGTCGGCCATTTCTTTTGTACATCAGCAATTTGATGAGAAACGTATTGCATCACTCTATCTTGATCCCCTTGTTTTTGCATCAACACCGCGCCTAAAGCGTACTGTGAGGCGTCAGCAAATATCGAAAACGGTTGGGCGACGTCTGGAAAGGTCAAAATTGGGGCTTCTGCTAACCGAGTCTTCAGGATATCAAATGCGTGTTGCGTTTGATCACTCCATTCAAATCTCGCGCTCCTTCGCGGGAGTGCTGTCAAGGGTCTAGCAAATTTGCTGAACTGTGGCACGTACTCTCTGTAATAGGATGTCATTTCAATAAATCCATGGACTTCTCTAAGATTTCTAGGTGAATGCAAGCTGTCTATGACTTTGACTTTGTTTGAATCTATGCTTATTCCTTCGTTTGATACGATGTGTACCAAAAAATTCAACTTGTCTTTAGGAATTCGCACTTTGATATTTTAAGGTGCAGGTTTGCGCGTCGAAGTCGGTCAAACACTGTCTCAAGATGCTGCAAATAATCCTGAAAGGTCGCGCTATTGATGATAATGTCGTCGATGAAGGCAACTGCCAATTGTTTGACATCGCTCAAAACGGCATATATCAGAGTTTGGAAGACTGCTGGGGAGCCTGCTAAACCAAAACACATTGTAAATGTGCTCGAAAACACCTGCATATGTCCGAAAAGCAGTTTTTTGATCTTCGTCTTTGATTGAAACTGCCAGAATCTAGCTTTTAAGTCCAAACAGGTGCGGAATTTAGACATGCCTAAAGAATGAAGAGTGTCTTCGGCGTTAGGTGCGCTGGAGGCTGGAACTACGGTAACAGCGCTTAATTTTCTCAAGTTAACACAAATTCCATATGAGCCATCTTTTTTCGGTACTACAATCTCGGGTAAAAGGCATGGGGAGTTGCTTCGGCGAATGATGCCTGCTTTTAGCATACCATCGACGTGTTTATCCAGAATTAACTTTGAGTACGATGAATCCTACATGGCTTTTGTCTAATAGGTGGGCTGTTTTGAGTGTTTATTACCATTTCGGTAACGTGCGTGGTCGTTAGCTCTGAATCTTTCACGACAAAACATCGATGTTTCTTTCTAAAAGCTGTTCAAGAACAAGGCCCATTTTCGTCCGAAATGTGTGCAAAGTTGAGAATTTTCAGCTTGTGGCTTGATTGTATGGATGCCATTAGTTGTTCTGCTTCTGCATGGCTGATTTTAATTTGTTCTTTTTTTAAAATTCAACGCTTTACCTAAAATTTGACCTTTCCTTATATAAAAATGCCTGCCTGTCTCATTCACAATAGCCTACGGGACGTGCTTGTTTTTAGACATTTGAACCATTGCAATGGGGAAGCGAATTCCAGGTTCATCTTCAAAGCATGGGAAAGACGGAAGTTGCGTCAGAATGAAGTGTTTTCCAGCAGTTTTACTTTTCGATGGTTGACATTTAATTTTGGCTGATGATCTAGGATACAGATGGACGCTTTCTGACAGTCTTGCTAAGTTAAGTTCTCCTTGTTGACAGTTTTGCTTTTGATTTGGTGGAAACAAAGTGTTTTTTCCAAATTTCAGCAGTTGATTATCGAAATCAAGGACAGCTTTTCTTTCATTGAAAAGTCCACGCCTAAAATCACGTCGTGCCCTAATCCGGTGACCACACATAATGAATGACACGTACCGATTTTACCCAAAGTAATTCGGATTTTTACCATTTTGTGTTTTTAAATGGGTGGCCTGAGGCAGACACTAAAGGTACCTATTTCTGACATGTTTCCTTTATCAAAACGTCGTCACATAATTTTAAGAATTCATCGCTCACCAGCGAGAACTGAGCTCCACTATCCAAAAGACTACAAAGCCTGTTTTTGCCTATGCAAACGTCTCTGAAGGACATTTCTTGTTCACATCTATGTTGCAAATTTCACCTGCTCGACTGGATGGAGGTCCTCCGAGTTTTCCGAACGTTCCCGTTCATCTGCTTGAGGGGTCTGTTTACGTAGCTGTGCGACATATTTGCGACACACACGTTGAATGCCGCCTGGAATGTGGCGAAAATGACAGATGGGCCTATGGTCTTCAGTAAACGGATACCTAGGTCGTGCCGGGTCGTCTCTACAGAACTTGGGGCCTGGTTTCAACGAGGATAGATATTCCGTTCCCCGTAGCGATACTTATGTTTTCCGTGTTTTCTTCGTGTTTTCTTCACCAAGTAACGAGACTTCAGGAGCTTGATAGACTGGATGGAAAAGGGTAGGATTTTGGAGCTGTCCGATATATGTCGTGCAGCGACGTTGGGCTTTTTGATAATGTTTTTCAATCAGCTTATCAAGGTCTGCTGCGGAAGGATTTGCCGAGAAGAAACCACAACAGCGTTGGAGACAAGGAATGCGCAACGGTAGTAGACGTAACAGGAGGTACTGATATGGTCACAATGGCAAGTATGACAAATGCTACACCGTTGGCAAAAATATCGCTTGTTGAGGTTGTGGCAAGCGCAGAAATGCTTCCTTTTCTTCCGACGATTTTCTAAATATGTGCAATGACAGGCACACAGCTTGTCCAAAAGATCGGTCTGGTCAGATGGGAAGCTGTCTTGCAATAGCTTCCAGCAAGCACAGGTACCATAACCTTGAAAATCCAATTCTTTGCCCGTTATCCAGCGACTCGTGTGGCTCGTGTGGATTGGAACCTGCACTTCGATAGCCGTACCTTGCTGTGAGACGAGAGGATGTTTCGGCGCTGATAACTCGTAGATCCTTGATACGGGTCTGGGCACCAATATAACGCTTCGTTCTCGTGACTTGCGTTCTTTTTCTCACAAACGTCCATCAGAGAACGGACGTGAAAAGGTAATTATATTCGGTCGTGGTCCGCTCGCGCAGTACCGCGTTGCCACCCTGGTCGTCGGGCCGCGTCTGCCTCTGTCTGACCGTAACTGCCCGTCTGACGCTACGCAGGATGCGTCAGGTTGTAAACGACAGGGCCGCTGGGCGGCGCCGGCGGGCGGCCTCTAAACACTGGGGATGGGGCGTTCTCAAACATTTGACGCTGCGCAATTATATGCGCGTGTGAGCCAACATGAAGCAGCAGAGGCGCGATATGTCGTAATCCTTGCATAAACCAACTACGGCAATGGGTACCCACATCCGGCGTATCCAATAAATAGCATAAAAAGAAAAAAACAAGGCAATGCATCACCTCAAAGGTGTTACTCTAAGTGCTTTGTGTTCGTTAGAGAGCGGCGAGAGTCCCGCTGACACGTTGACAACGGCGCATTACGGACGCGTGACGATTACACGCTACACCTGTCTGCCTTTCTTTGTACCATTTGTATTATGCCTTTTACATGATGACGTCAATCCTGAAAAGTCATACTGCATGGATGGGTTAGATATTCAAAACAATACAATTCTCGATAACTTTTGGCACCAACAATGTGACATGTTACTTAATTTGTCGGTCGTGATTTCGTATTGAACCAAAACACTTGTAGTTAGGCTCTAGGGCTATACTCGGACATAACTCAATCTCCAAGGATTTGACGCATGTTTGAATTTAAGAAATAAGGTAACAGAGGTATCCGGACTCAGGTTTTTAAAACGCATCGAGGGTCAAGTCTGAACCAGAGCAACGGCCCAGATTTTTCGAATCACATTCAGACTCCGCCTCAGAGCCCGAGAAAGGGATCGCTGGGAATGACTGACAAGCGGTGGCCACCAGCCGTTGTATGTCAGTCGTGGATGGCAGCAGCCCTTGTTAGAACAATGCGCCCTGGAGGCTTTCGAGCGGACCCACGCGAACGGACAGTGTTGACTGTGTTGGACTTAGCGGACGTGGACTGGCAGCGACCCGAACCCGTGGCACTCGAACAAAGATCTGCTCGGCCTCAGGGCGAAGCTGCCATCTGTCTCTCACTCAGACGTGCTAACGCTTCTGCTAAGTCAATCAGAAATTTAACCGGGCTGTAAGATACCAGGAAAAATGAAACAGGAAATGTCACATACAGTGATCCCTGTATTCCGAGCTCATAAGCTGTTATCTCTGAAACTCTTCAACGACATACCTCCAATGGCCCATCTAGTGGTAGTTTGGTGACGGATAGAGCATAGGGTAACTCACGGCAATGGATAGTTGAATAACATGAGATTACCACGAGATGTGTAGAAACCGCCAAAGTTATAGCGACCTCCGCGGCCGCGGCGATGCCAGTGGCCGGCCGATAACCACTGGCTGTCCTCGATCTGGCAGCGCACTCCCTGGCAACGTCTGCAAACCAAGGACAGGGGATCTGCCCGGCGCGAGAACCGGGGCTCTGAGAGAGAGAGCGTGTCGCAGAGACATCGGGTAGTCGTGGATTCCTGCGCGCGCTGGGAGGCCACCGGCTGAGCGGTTTCCGGCGGCGCGGCCTGTACTCGCTGTCATGTGGGCTCTCGCTGTGTTCTTGCTGCTGGTGACGGCGTTCTTGTGGATTCGGAGGCCGCAGCGACCGTCCAACTTTCCGCCGGGTACGTATTTGCGCCCACACAGCTTGCTGGGTGACCGAAGGCGCGAGAACTTAGCGGAGTGGGGGAGAGGTGTGTGGAAGGGGAGGGAGATAGTGGGGAAGCTCGCTCCCCTTTTTCTTGAAAGCTGGAGGCGCCCCCTTCATCTTGTAGAGTCTGTGGAGGACCAATTCTGGTACATCATGGTACTACTAAGTGCCTTTGTGTTGTTGCAAGGGCCATTCTGAGCTGTTACGGGATGAGGTAAGTCCGTGGAAGTTCATTCTGATCTGTCGATGGCTCATTCAGACCTATGCAGGTTTATTTCGACTGAAAGAGGGTCATTCTAGGCTTGTAGACTGACCAGTACGCTGTTCATATTTGCCTGCAAAAGGCTCATTCTGGACTAATGCAGGGTCTACGTTTCCATGTGCAGGGGCCCATTCAGCCCCAGAATGGGCATTTTCTGTCCCGTTAAGGTGTGATAATTAGCTGTGGAGGCCGCTCTCACTAGCAGAGAGCTCATCATTGACTCGAAAAACATTCTATTCTGTTAGATGGCTCATTCTGATCTGTTGAATTCCCAATTTGGCTTGGGAACGTCTCATCATGAACCGTTGAGGGCTACTTAAGGCCTCCAATGAACCATTTCTACCCATGAAGGCCCATTCCGGCCTGTAGAGGGCGATTTCTGACTTACGGAGGACACATTTTGACCTGAATAGGGCCCATTGGGGCTTGTAGAGAGCACACCATCTGATTGTAGGGTGCCCATTCAACATAATCCCCACGCCCTGTGGGTTGCACTGGGTATTCATTGCGTAGGCGCACAAGTCCGTATTCATGGACAGGCATCGGCGAAAATGTGTGGCTCAAAATTCCCAGGTTTTTATTGATGTGCCATGAAGTATTGCTTCTGACGTAGCAGGTAAAACTTTTCTCCCAAAAAATACAAATCCATTGCTGCTTAAGAAATCAAAGTGGAGATGTCTTGCGAAATAATCTGCATTCATGCACCACCTGCAGGCCTACTTTATCAGCGAGTTTCCCAGGAAGCTGCCTTTAATTGCAACGTGCCCGTTTGTTTATGTTACACTTTACTTGGGGCGAAGTATAGTACACATGAAACATTTACTTCTCCTATACCTGGTGTCGAATTATTAAACATATTCCAATCGATTTGTACTGGCCTTATCCATTTCAACATGCGTTTAGGAAACACCAATTCACGACAGCTTAACCCATGCATTATTTCAGAGCTCATGGATTTATCCAAGCCGTGAGCATACGCCTACCTTCTATCAAACCATGGTCGATTTCTTGCCGTGGCACTATAACCTATACTAATTTTAAATGCACAAATGTTTCTAGCCTCCTTATATGCTACGACGCTGCAACCATGGCCCAGATTTTGAGGACACATCCGGTGAGACGCATCCCCGAATGGCTCAAAATGAGATTGGCTGAGACTAAGAAATGCGTTCTTTTTCAGGCCCTCCAACATTTCTCATCTTTGGCAATATTTGGACGGTGATTGACTGGATTCGGGGCCAGTTTCTTGCGAGCATGAGCCATTGTCAGCACGAGTTTGGAGATATTCTTGGCTTCGTGCTTCCTACGGGTGACAAGATTGTGCACATTCGCAAGTTCGAAGACATCAAAGAGGCCTGCGCGATGCACGAGCTGTCTGGAAGACCGAACAACTTTGCTCTGCTAGTCCGCAGCTTCCAACAAAAGCTGGGTGTCGTAATGAACGAAGGCCCTTCCTGGGTAGAGCACAGGCGCTTTGCTTTAAGGCACCTAAGGGATCTGGGCCTCGGGAAAAACTCCATGGAGTCGACAGTTTTGAACGAATTCGAAGAGCTCTCCCAGGAGATGACACGTGACATTGACTCACCGATGAAAGTTAACTTCCGCTTTAACTTGACGGTGCTGAACATACTCTGGAGACTGGTCGCCGACAAGCGGCTGGAGAGTAGTGATCCCAAGGCCCAACACTACATCGCGGCGGTCAACGACTTAGTCACTACCATCGGTCCGGGTAACCCGATGAACCTGGCGCCGTGGCTGCGTCACATCGCCCCCGAGTGGAGCGGCTACGGGCCGCTGATCCGACATCGCGATACTACGATCGGCATGTTCCACGAGGTGGTCCACGAGCATCGGCAGACGCTGGACCGCTCCAGCCCCCGCGACTTCGTCGACCAGTTCCTGCTGGAGATGGAGAAGCCAGACGCTGAGGCTCGCCTCTTCACCGAACGCAACCTGTCCATCATCGGCATGGACTTCTTCGTCGCCGGCATGGAGACGACGTCCACCTCTCTGAGCTGGGCGTTGCTCTTCATGGTCAAGTATCCGGAGTTGCAGAATCGCGTACAGCGCGAGATCGACGCTGTTCTCGGCGCAAGTCCGCCGACCTACGGCGACCGCATGCGCATGCCGTACACTGAGGCCGACGCTGATGGAGGTGACGCGGCGTTCCAACGTCCTCCCTCACGCAGTGCCGCACAGTGCATTGAGCGACCCTCTCATTCCGCGGCTACACCATCCCCCAGAGCACCACGGTGATCATGGACTTGGACATGGTGCACATGGACCCGGCGTACTGGGGTGACCCGGAGGCGTTCAGGCCCGACCGGTTCCTGCACGCGGACGGCAGCGTGCGCCGTGATGAGCGGCTCATCCCGTTCGGCATCGGGAAGAGGTTCTGCCTGGGAGAGACGCTGGCGCGCATGGAGATGTTCATGCTCTTCACCTGCCTGCTGCAGCGTTTCAGCTTTACTGCCGTCCCAGGGCAGCAACTCCCGCTGGAGACCAGCTTCACGGTCGTGCAGCAGCCTCCCGAGTTCTTTGTGACCTACAAGCCGCGTGATTAGCCCTTATGACCTACAAGCCGCGCGACTAGCCCTTGTAAACTACAAGCTGCGTGCTAGCCTTTGTGACCTACAAGCCGCGTGACCAGCTTTTGTGACCTACAGGCCACGTGACTAGCGATGAGGTGGCGGCAACGCACCTGCCTGAGCTATGTCTCTCTGGCATCTGGATACCATCTAATGCTTGGATATATGTTTCCCACATTGATCGCATCTTCCTCACCAATCGGCAAACGAGAGTCGGTAGTGCTCGCACCTTAGCCAGCATAGAGGTACAATGTCTGCCGAATTCGCTGCTGGTGTAATAAAGCAAGAGGTCCTACGGCGGCGAGTGCACTGAAATGAGTCAGCAAGACTTGGTCACATTTTGTTCTACCCACCTATCACCCATTTACAAGTGACCAGGAGCGCCCATCTTTGCCACCCCGGCACACAGAGCCTCGCTTTAACACCTTCATTAGTAGCGAAAGCTGCATCACTTCCAGTTAAGAACTTCTTAACACGCTACACACGCCATCAAACCGGTACGTAATTTACCAGCAGTACCGTGATGTGAACATCTGCTGGTGAGAGATGGTGGAAAGAATCCAGCTACATTCAAAATTACAGTTATTTTATTTAAGGGGCATCCACGTGGTGGTTGTTCTGCGCCTAGTCACACAAGGAATAAGAACCCACCTAAAGGCGCGGCACAGAAACTGTTGCAAGGAGGCACTCAGCCGGACGCCTGGCAGATGTAGCCAGCCGACACTGCCCGAAACAGCCCAAGTTTGGCGATTGGAAGACTCGGCACGCGTTACAATAGAACACGCAGGGCATTGGGAGATTCGGAGACGTGCAGTGCCCTGTACACATTCAGGTAGTCCCGGTCATGCCCAAGATCCGCGACGCTACGCCAGCCGAGCGCGTCCAGAACGGGTGAAATGTGATTGGTGCGGCGGGCACCACTCACTAGCTGGGCTGTGAAATGCATCACCCTTTTCACCCCGTCTAAGCGAAGCTCGGAGGCTCCACCCCAAATGTAGAGGATGTGGAGGCAGAAGAGGATGTGGGGATGACGGTTTGTGCCGGAGATGGTAATGTGGAAGTTGTTGGTCTTTGTGATAGGGGACTTAATGCTGATCAGTATGAAGTGCCGTCTTTTTGGGGTACATCTTAAGGCTTTTTGACTGAAACCAGTTTTAAAGGCGTTGAATACACTTTTCGACACGTGCTTTCAGATTGGACAGGCCGACGACATCGCGGGGGTAGCGGAGTCAAGGAGTTGGGTGTCATCGGCCGTCGGTTTGTAGGCGGTCGTAGAGTAGGAAGCTGGATAGGTCGTTGATGAAGATGAGGAACATGACTGGGCCGGCAAGGGATCCCTGGGCCACCCCGTGGAATAGAGACAAGCAAATAAAGAAATTGTTATGCTAAATTGTTAAATGTTAAGGAAAGTTAGGGATATGATAAACTCGAAATAAGCATCAGAAACTATCCCATACAGCAAGCACTAGAGTAGCAAAACAGGTTGCTTTTGACCTTAGTGTGACCTTTATACCTGACCTTAGGTCGATGGAATTTTTTCATTCAACTGTTGTGTTGCCTAAGAAAGCATATCAGAGATGTATGACTTCGTCTAGCACTTCGTTGTTGTATCAGATTGGACGATCCTCTAGAAATTGCCTTCGTTGAAACCATGGCCTGACTTTGACCTTCCATGGGTCAACGACCTTACAAGTTATATCCAAATTTGTGATGCCCAACGATCCGCTATTCAACTGTCGACAGCTATGCAATATTTGGCGCGGCTACGCCACACCGTTCGGAACCCATTCTGAAAAACCTTTGGGGAGTCAATTTGACCCCCCGACCGAGCGCGTGTTAATCCATACCGACGGCACATGGGTTGGGAGCTTTTGGCGTGATAAGTCGAAACGCTGGGACGTCGCTCAGGCATGATTGGTGTGTTTTGCTTCTGTCGATTCGTTGGAAATATTGTTTTTGGTGCCGAGTTATGCACGGTTCTCACGTAGCCACCGCTACAGGGCGCTCATCGTGCACTCGGGCGAAAAAGAAGGGCCATAGACTGCTAGCACTCAGCGTCAGGCAGGCCCACGACATTACTATCGAGTTAGTAAAGGCGGAGTTTTGTATTGGAGCCTGAGTTTACCCTCTCTGACCCCACCCGTCCCCCAATGTATGCATCACCCCCTCAATATTTTACCAGTATCACTAAAAGACCCTCAAAACATACAACTAGAACGCAAAAATACATCGTGTGGGAAATTTGATCTGTATCGTCTTCTGCACTTTTTAAAGATCATTTATCGAGACCGACTACGCAGGTTGGGCCGCCGTTCCGGCTCTCTCACCATCGCGTGGTAAATGAAGCTGCTAAGTGATGCGTCTTTTGCGCCTTGTTTCAACATTTTAAGTTGCAGCCCCTGGCAATTATAAAAGAAAACAAATAGCCATATTTTTTGGCTTTGTTATGAATGCCTCTCGTTGAAAGTGTGTCTATTTGCGTTTATCTTTTGATTCTTGCTGCATTCTAAGTGTCTCTTAACGCCGTACGTTGCGGCACAGTTGGCTGCTGTTTGTGCGATCAAGGCCGTTATCTGCGTGCGTGACCTGGGTCAGCTGCTGACGCCTCCTCCCTTCCCCCTCCCCCCCCCCCCCCCATCCCCCGCAGCGTCGCTGGCGATTGCCGGCCAAGCCTAGACCGAGGGTCACGGGACGGGCCCACGTAAGCATCTGCAGACCGTAAACAGAGCCAGGCTGCCGCGCCGTGGCGATCCTGACGGCGCGGCTCTAGGCAACTGGCAACCAGACAACGGACTGTGCGCCGGCTCTAGGCAACTGACAACCAGACAACGGACTGTGCGCCGGCTCCGGACAACCGGCGACCAGACAACAGACAGCGCACTGGCTGCGGACAACCGGCAACAAGACAACACACGGCGCACTGTCCCCAGACAACCGGTAACCAGACGACAGACAGCGCGCCGGCTCCAGGCAATCAGCAACCAAGCAACATACAGCGCACCGGCTACAGACAGATGAGCTTGTCACCAACAATCGCAATCTTGTCAAATTGTACGGACCGCCACGGCCAAAAGTCGATCTGGCACGTTCTTGATCACGCAAACAAGTTTACTTCAAAAGAAATGATCGTAAAAAATTATGTAACTGGTGGCGGGTGCAGGTTTCCCAGTCGCAGTCAATCAGTGCCACTGGATTAAACAAGTGCATCACTGATGTGACTGTGGGCTGTCAGTGTTGGCATAACTCAATGGTTCATAGACAGCGCATTGGTCCACACTACGTACTTGTCCTTGAACTTGCATTTTATCTGTTTGAAGGGTTCTGACGTCCAAAACGAAAAGCAGTAGGTGCATCGTATACGCTCCAATACTCTCGGCTTACTTCGGGCACTGCGGCCGATCTATGTTGTTTACGGAGTGACGTAGCCATTTCTTTACTCACTTGGCTTACAACATAGCCACAGTTAGATCCGTTTACACTAATTCTGCAACCATCAATGCAGAAAAGCAGATTTGACTTCCCCTGCTCTGACGGTTTTCCATAGGTAAGGATCTAAATGTTCGAAAATCCGCAAACAGGTGGGAAGCGGTTTGCTACGGCTGGCTTGGAATGAGTGTTGGTACCGAGCGGATGAGGCGAAGAAAATATCGCTCGTGACCGCTTCTGTTTTGCTTTTAAATGTATTTAACCACTTTAGGGTTTTGTTTATTTTTTCCAGACAGCGTTGCATCATACGCTTTTATCATCGATTACAGTCACGCCCTCACAACGTATTTTGTGTTCCTATCTAACTTTCTTTGTGCGTCATCACAGGCTCAACAGCATAGCGCCACAATTGTCATATCGACATGATCATCAACCTAAGCTTAATGTAATCATCACCACATCAACGAACCTTAACTCAATCCATCCCAATGTGAATGCTTCTACTAAGCAGAGCAATTGGCAAATCTACCCAAAGATACACAAAATGCAGGTTTTTTTCGTATTCGATCCCTTGTGGTCTCGAAGTTCTTGCAGGAATTGAGTTTCCCAAGCTGAATAGGAAGCTATCTTCCTGCCTGTACGTTTCCCGCCAGCTCTCAGGGGCAAAAGCAGCGCGAAAAATGATATTACGTGGCTGAAACAGAGCAGCCCTGATGGCTTATGATGACACAGCAAAACATCACGCCTCACCCACCAATCACCAACGCAGTATGTTTCATTAGAGTGTGTCGTCGAAGAGACGAATCTCTTGAAATCAGCTGTTGCTGACAGAATTTGTCCTTGGCACGCGGATTAATGATAAACTTTCAGGTCTGTCACACCGCACCAATGTTGATATTCGTGGAGTGCGAGCGGTTTTTTCTTTGATAGGCCAAGAAAACCGTATTTGATGCAAATGGCACCGATTTACGCCCCGTACGCGATGAACGCCATCAGCAGGTTGTGCAATGACACAGTCCATCGCACCCGATCACAAATCCATCAAATCCATTAACACTACCACTGGGCTGCTTCCTCTGAGCGTTGTGTTCTGCGAGCTTGCTTGTCCTTCCAATTCCTTTGAATGCTTGCTTATGTTGCCCCGATAGATTCTTGCAAGCCTCCTTCTTCTGCGAGCTTTGCGTTCACAATCTATTTTCGCTGGTGGCATTGCCTTACGCTTACGATCACCTATTCTACAACGGGGTAGGCCATCGTTGATTTGTAGTTGTAATTTGTACTTTTAGTACTACAAATGCACCGCGGCTGGAAATCAGCTGGCCTTTATGAAACATCCCAAGGTAAGGTTGTAGAAATTCTGGAGAGATTTGTCAATTTTTGTGTGTGGTTTTGTAGGTTGGAATTTGTAGCTGTTGTTTGTAGGTTTCTGCTTTATGAAACACATTTTTACAACTACACATACAAATTTACAAACTAAAATACAAATGTACAAAAAACTGCCTTTGTGAGAAAGGCTACAGGTTGTGCAATGACATGGTCCATCACAACCA